AAATTTACTTAATTATCATAAGTAAATTTATTCAAACTTGCATTAAATAAAATGCTTAAATTGACAATAAGATATTCACATTTCTTGAATATCATAAAGAAAATATTTAATAATTGTAGTCTCTTTAACAAAATTTGGATAATTGAACATTGGATTTGGGTTGAGATTCAAACTAGAGCTGGACTAACAGAAATATTTGGGTCAAAATTGAACACTTGCTAAACAAGTGCCAAGTAGATGAGAAATTTATGAGATAAAGAAATAAAGAATCTTTTGCAATTCTGCATTACACAAGAATCCATTGTTCGAGTTCTAGAAAAAAGCTTCAACTGCTGCAAGATAAAAAGAACATGAAGATCCTTTTTAAGCACTAGCCCTTGGGCTCAAGGACCGACATCTTGGTCTCCAATGGTAATCTCTCGCAACATTGGTCAGAATCGCCATCAGAAACGGCGTAATTATGGACAGTACAAACCAAAATAGAGAGAGTTTACCATTAGGTGAAGTAGCACATGTACAAGTGTCATATCTTGCAGCAAAAAGTGTCACTTGCAATTCAAATTGTAAAGGGAACTTAATAGTGAGAAAATATAACATTTAGCATGTGAACAGACATAAAGAAGGGATTTGAGTTAAAAAGCAGGATTAGACCGAATGACACTGCATTCTCCATCCCCATCATCGTCTTTCCACCAGTGTGCACTGGCAGCTGTGTGGCATCATTGATTGTGGTCGCGTTACTAGTAGGCCTAAAGTCATTCTGCCAAGCATCGCCTGGTGGACATAGTGATGCAGCACAAATGTGAATGAAGAACAAGTCTAAAATAATTATGAATTTTATATTTCTTAAATCTCCGCAAAAATACCGAATATTTAATCTTGATCAACAATTGTTGATTCACACAAGGATCCCAAATTAGATTGAAAATTGGAGAAACAATCTCACTACTTCATTTAATAAAATTTACATCATTGTCCACTAATCTATTAAGAAAATATATAGTAGTACAATTAAAACAAGACATAATAATTAAGTAAATTGACTATGGTTTACATGACTACTTTAACATAAACTAGGAACACGTCTAAAGCTATAAATTTTTCAATTGTCTTCCTTTCATCTAGATAACATGTGGCCGTTGACTTACCTTCTCCTCTTCCTTCTTCCTTAAGGTGGCACATATTGTGGCTCAACTTGAGTTTTAGACAAAAGTTTCAAACTCTGGCAAGATGAAATAGGAAAGAAATTGAACCTTTTCTCAAGCACTAGCCCTTGTACTCGTCGATACACATCTTGGTCTCTTAAAGTAATCTCTTGTCACCCTGGTCATAATCGGGATCAGAACCGGGAGAACTCCGGAAAGGATATTAAAGAACGTAGACAGTGTGCTATTAGGAGCAATAGCCACCATACAAGTATCATAAGTTGTTATGAGTGCGCCAAGCGAGATTAGCAATTCCAATTGTAAAGGAAATTTAGTAGTGAGAAAACTTATCATGTGAATGGACATAAAGAAGCCAACTGAGTTAAAAAATAGGAATAGACCATACGAAACTGGCTTGTGTGTGCCCATGACTGCCCGACCAGCAGTGTGAGGTGGTGGTGATGACTGAGTGTCACTAGTGTTGGTTGTGTTACTAGTAGGGCTAACATCTTCCTGCCAAACACCACCTGGTGGACTAAGAACAGCTTGATAGGTTGCAGTTGCGATTAATACAGCTATGACTAGCAATGTATGTCGAACTTTGGTGGGGGAGTCTTTAGTTTTGTCATACTTGAAGTAGTCCTGCAATTTTTTAGAGGGCTTTCGAGGCCTCTCTCTCCCTATTTCACTTTCTGATGGCTCATGAGTGGCAACATTCCTGTTATCTGATTGCATTGCCTGTTGACCTGAGTTCATGTTTTCGACTCCTGAAGCCCCAGCTAGCCTAAGCATTTCCTCGATTTCACAATCACCCCCTTCTGATAGTAATACATCAAGCGGTGTAAGACCTCTTTTGTTCAAGGAATTCACCTCCAACAAGCCCTTAGTAACAAAATTCTCGTCCAGCATCAACTCAATAACCTGATAATGATCTTTTATTCAGATTATATGGAGTAAATAATACAAAGACTCAATAACTTCATAACTAGAGAAAAAATTCAAGAGGTACCTCGTATTGCTTTCTGGAGACTGCAAGATGCAGGATGGTGTCCCCTTGAGCATCCTTCTGATTCAAATTATCCTCTTTATTGTGTGTCTTGTGGTAAACTACCAGGCTCTTGAGAGCTTCAAATTGGTTGTTTTTCGCAGCCAGATGGAAAGAGGTTTCACCACGAGCTGTCACTTCCCTTGTGCCGTCTTCACAGGCCGAAAGCAGTTCTCCAATCACTTGTGTTCTGCCTTTGATCACTGCATAGTGTAATGGAATTCTTCTCTCTTTTCCCTTAACCATGCACAAATTACTATCTATTTTCAATAGCTCCTTTACAATACGTACATCCCCATTAGCTGCCGCAATATGCAATGGACTGAAGCCTTCGTGGTTCAATTCTTTTGCGAATCCTGGCCTCATATTTAAGACCTCCTTCACAAATTGAAGGTTGCCCGCCATGCAAGCAATATGTAATGGAGTGTCTGCACCAGATAAGGCAACAGCCCTCATCAGGAAAGGATCATCGTCGATCAGACTATGCAGTTGACGAACGTCTCCTTTTTGTGCAGCCTCAATTAGCCTTCTGTCCATGTTCTAATCATACATTCAATAAAACAAATTCTTGGCATTAGGTGTATAAATAATTTGGTAATGCTTATGTTGAAAGGGCCTAGATTCAACTCCAATAAGAATATAAAAGTATTGTCTGAGATCAGTTCTTAGATCATGTTGACAAAGTAATTTGTGAAGAAAGTCAACGGATAAGATTATGAGTTAAACTAAGAGATTGTCACTGTGTAAACCAGAAGGCGTTTGCTATATACATGTAAGCATAACCTTCCCTAGGCTTATGGTTAAAGAATATTTATTAGGTATTATCTATTACCTTGAAATCAAACAAGAGATTTGATCATCGCACTTCTTGAATTCTTCTGCAAAATGTATAAGCTTGATGGTCAACCTACAGGGCATTCTGTAAACTATTTAATTCCCTTCGTTGAGTTAAATATTAGTAAATATATGTATATATTTGAAATTATCAAAATATTAGTTGGTCAAAATTATCAATTTTCCAATTTTTGAGGTCAAACGGCATAACTGACAGATTCCATCAGATTGGATTCCGTGTGCGAATTTTAGAAAGGTTTAGTATCATGAGTGGCACAAATAAAATATTTGGATCAAGACTGAGATAAAATGAAAGGTTTTGTTTCATCATCTTAGCATTTTAATTATTTATTTTTTGCACTATAATAAATTGCAGAATATAACTAAGAAATGGAATGTGAATTGGTGAATGTTTTTCTTGTATTGATGCCGTGAAGCAAATACATACATACATACATACATACAAATCATATGCTAATTACAAGCATAGTATAACGTGATCCTATATCAAAGAAATATTTCCTAAAATAAAAAAGTCAACAAATAAATGGAATCGATACAAATAATTTTGAGATAATGCAGAGGATTCCTAATACTCCCCTTCAAGTTGGAGAGTGAATATCATGAAGTCCCAACTTGTTACGTAACGTTACAAATTGGTCCTTTCCTAAAGCTTTTGTAAACACGTCCGCCAATTGTAAGCGTGTGGGCATGTAGGAAGGACTAATCATCCCGGCTTGTAGTTTCTCTCGGACAATGTGGTAGTCTATCTCAATGTACTTCGTACGTTCATGGAAAACGGGATTTGCTGCGATGTATAAGGTAGCCTGGTTGTCACAAAATAAAGGTGTAGGAGCTGGTTGTGCAACCTTTAGATCTTGCAATATGAAATGTAACCATGTCAACTCCAAGCACGTGTTTGCCATGGCTCAGTATTCAGCTCCTGCAGATGATCGAGAAACATTAGCTTGTTTCTTGGATTTCCATGAGATACTGGAATCTCCAAGAAAAATACAATATCTTGTATCTGATCTTTTTGTGGCACAGCACCTTTCCCAATCTGAATCGCAAAATGCCTTGAGAGTTAGACTGTTTGCAGAAGAAAATAGTAAACCTTGACCAGGATTACCCTTGATGTAATGCGTTAAGCTGCATCCCAACGTGGCTTTCTGGGTTCATGCATGAATTGACTCAATGTGCGAACAGAGTATACTACGTTAGGCCTTGTCATAGTAAGATAAATCAATCTACCAACCAACCTTCTATACTTAGTTGGATCACTTAATAAGACCTCATTTATAGGAGTAAGCTTCAAATTTTGCTCCATCGGAAACTTGTTAGGACGTGCACCAAGAAGTCCTGAATCTTGTAAAATGTCTATCGCATATTTCCTTTGAGACATGAAAATTCCCTTTTTTGATCGAGAAAATTCAATACCTAGAAAATATTTTAAGTCACTGAGATCTTTCATGTGAAAGTGTTTGAAGAGAAACTTCTTGAGATGTTCTATTTCTTGAAGATCATTACCTGTAAGGAGTATATCATCAACATAGATAAGGACTGCCGTAAAAGAAGTACCTCCGTCTTTGGTGAAAAGGATATAATCGACTTTTGACTGCTGATAATCGACTTTTCAAATCGTAGCGGAGAAGGTAGAAAACCATTTTCTTGATGCTTGTTTGAGACCGTAGAGAGATTTATTAAGTCGACACACAGGAATATCCCCCTGCTGACGAAGACGAGATGAAGGTTCCATGTATACTACCTCTTGTAAATCACTATGAAGGAAAGCATTTTGAACATCTAACTGATGGATGAACTAATGACGTGCGGAAACAACAGCAAGAAGGCAATGAAGTGTAGCGAGCTTGGTAGTGGGAGAGAAGGTTTCGTGGTAATCAATACCTTCAACTTGAGTGTATCCCTTAGCAACAAGGCGAACTTTATGAAGCTCAATAGTGCCATCAGATCAATATTTGATTCTGTAGATCCATTTACAACCAATGGGTTTATGATCAACCGGTAAAGGAACCATACTCCAGGTGTTATTCTGCTCTAATGCTGTTAATTCTGCTTTCATTGCATTTTACCAATGTGGATCAAGGATAGCTTGAGCATAAGAGTGAAGTTCGGTATGACATGTAATGTTAGCTAGAAAGGTATAATAGGCAGAAGATAAACGAGAATATAAAAGAAATTAGAAAGAGGATATCGAGTACCTGATGCTGAACTTGGTGTCAAGGTTGAATTATTGGCTTGAGCACACAAAATGTAGTCTTTGTGCCATGTCGGAGGTTGCTTTGGATGAGTGGATTGACGTATAGAGGGATTAGGGAAAGCTAGTGAGTCTGTATGTGGCTGGTGTGCTGTCGCAAACACCCAAAAATAGTCCTTAAACCTCTAAAACTAATGTAGTAATGGAAGTAAGGGTCGATCCCACGAAGAGTGTGTAATTCAATATTTATGCTTCGTACAATGATTGGGGGATTTTGTATTCAAACAATTGTAAATAATTCAATTAATAACAATGCTAATTAAATTAACGAAAACAATCAAAAGACTAATCTTGGTCTAAGTCCACATCCACCGTCGGAAATCCACAATTGATCATAGATGCAATGATAATTCAATTCATATTTCGAATATTCATCATTGGAATTGATTCATATTTCTCCTTAATTTTAGTTAATTAGAAACCAGCGTTCTAATTAACCCTAATTATTAAATAACCCCAGACCAGCGCTCAAGATTCAATTTAATAACAGCTTTACACAATAGAGAAATCGATGAACTAGATAACACAAACACCAGCGGTTGCATTCAATCTATTTAAACATTCTTCTTAAGATTCAATAACCTCTAT